TATTTGTAAACAAATACAAAGATTAAACTCGTAGCGTCAGATTGTAGCTATGGTAATGCTACAAGCCAAACTATGAAGATTTATTTTTGGCACTTTTGCAAAGTAAACTTGCCATTTCCTTTGAATCTTAAATGTAAACATTAAACAATTTAAGGCTTTTAATTTATGCAGAAACAATTAAATCAAATTTAATACTGTTGTCATCCTCAATAAATGTTCAAATTCAAACCTTAACGGGGGCCCCTGATGGTTATGGCGACCCTAATCAGGTTGTCTGTGGATGTGACCAGCATTACATTCCAAGCCAAAACTTAAGACTATATAGTTGTGTGTGCAACCTATTAACATATTATTAAATTTCCTGTTAACTTTTAACATCTTTTAAAACAAAAATGCGGCGTTTCTGAAGGGAGACCCTGAACTAGATGTTTCTTTCTCTCTTTTTTTGTACATTTTTTGTAAACTCTTTATGATCAACAGTCATAATAAAGTAATGAAGTGATTTTTCAACTGCAGCCCTAACTCGCATAGCCGTCTCTACAATCTACAAGGCGACTATCACTTTAGTCCTTCACAGAATACATCAGATAACTTTGAAGTGCCCTAGACAAAGCATATCATCAGAGTGCCCTTATGTCCAGTTGTTATATTTCATCTTTCTGCGTTGGCCCTCCGCCCCTCTTCCTCAGTGTGCGTGGGTCGCTGGCTCATGTCTCTGTGGATGGGCAGCGCTGTGGTCCATGAGCTGTACACGACAGCCAGCGGCCTGTACGTCTGCTGGGTGTCCGTCCGGGCCGCCACCGTGCTGCTGTCCTGGATGCCGCAGGGCAGGACGGTCATCATGCTCAAAGTCCAAGAGTGGACGCTCATGGTAACGTCCCGCCTCCGCCGCTGCCCGACGACGAAAACCTCTAGCGAGTGAAATCTGGACTGTTTTCGTTTGGCAGATCTTTAAGACGGTGGTGGTGGCCGTGATGTTAGCCGGGGTCATCCCCCTGCTGCTGGGCCTGCTGTTTGACCTGGTCATCGTTGCTCCTCTCAGAGTCCCAATGGACCAGACGCCTCTCTTCTACCCTTGGCAGGTAGGAATATGCAGTAAGATACACGGTGGGATCAGAGTGTGATCATTTTTATCATTTTATTTCAGTGTCTTTTGCCTCATTTGGTCATTTTCACATAACTTGTCAGTTTTTGTTGGATTTTAATGCAGTATTTTTTTTTTTTTTTTTTTTTTTGGAACTACAAAAAAGCTTAACATGAATTCCCCCTGATAGTTACTGTCTAGCATCATTTTTCCTTTCCTCCTGGACTAGTTGTCCACTTTACCAGGTTTTAGGCTTATAATATGTAGGTGATAAATTTGAACTTTTCTACAGCTGCTTCTTAACTGATGCCAGAAAAGAACTGGATTGGTTTTCTACAACCTCTAGAAACAACTCCTGTTTTTCCTCCAGTTAATATTAATACTTTGTAAGGATGACGGTACAAGAATAAAGCTTACCTTCACAAATTAGAATATTTATCTCAAAATCCCAGTAAAAAAAAAAATCCTAATATCAACAGCTGCATTTCTGAATGTTGTTTGTGAATGCTTCATAATCCCAATCAGATAATCTCTCATCTGCAACTGCAGTGCTAGAAAGAAGGAATTAAACAGCACCTTTACTACAGTGCTTAACTCCGCCTGGTGATATTAATATGTTTAATTAAAAAGCGAGAAGGAACTCATCTTTATGGATTTTTTTTTTTTTTTGTGGAAAATATGAGCTCTACATGTTTGACCTACTGAAACTCTGTGATGGACTAATTCAGTGTTTTATTAGTGTCGAAACGCTGGCTTTTTACAGCTTTTATTGTCTTAAATTAAACAGACCTGAAGCAAACTAACTCCAGAGTTTTAAACATCTAAGCCTGCCACCAGCTTCTTGTTTTTTAATGATCTGTAGAAAAATCATCGTGTTTGCACCGGAGAACTGGAATTAAGTTAAAAATGTTTTTAAAAAATATGTCTTCATGTCTTTAAATATGTCTTGTCTCAGTGTTCTAACTTGAAAGGCTTCTTGTTGTGCTGCAGGACTGGGCCCTGGGAGTCCTTCATGCAAAAATCATCGCTGCCATAACACTGATGGGCCCCCAGTGGCGGCTCAAAGCGGTCATAGAGCAGGTCAGTCTCACTTCCTGCCAATCAGAAAGGAGAAAACAGAAACGGGGACGATTGATGCTAAAACGTTTAAAGCCTCTTGTTTAGAGACGTGCTTTAGAACTATGCACTGTGTGTTATATGCATCAACAGGCATTAATGATTAACATCTGATTTCTTAACTGTGTGGTGATTTGACAACTGTTTAAACTGTATCTGAAACATCTGCCTCCAGGAAGCTAAGAATGACTTTAGGTTAAGATATCGGCTGTCAGCCATCTTGAATTTTAAGTTTCGGTATTTGCAGTGGAATCCTACAGAAAAATGCAAACTCTGGAATTTATTCCAATTTCTTATTTTTATTATTCTAATTACAATCCTGACTTTTCCATGTTGAACCAGCGTTCTCTTTTTCTTCAAAGTATGACCGGTTTGTTTTCAATTTCTGCCCATCCAGATTTCGAGAGGAGCTCATTCAAATTCTTATATGTAGATTATAAAACTAATTCATTGGTACTGTTGCTAGTTTTGGATCCAGCAGAAAACAAAGGGATTCCAAAATTATCCTCGCTTATTTGTCTGTAAGAAAAAAAAAAAAAAAAAAAGTTTTGGAATCCCATAAGCATTTCCTCGCTCCTCCTCGCAGGTGTACGCCAACGGCATCAGAAACATCGACCTTCACTTCATCGTGCGGCGGTTGGCCGCCCCCGTCATTTGCCTCCTGCTGCTGTTGCTCTGTGTTCCCTACACCGTCTCTAAAGGCCTCACACCACTGCTGGGTGAGGACAGCTCTGGATGTTTATCTTCCGTGTCTTACCGTTTCAACAGATTTCTCTACAACAGTGTTTGAGGAAATTATAAAGATTTCAGAAAGCTTTGCCGATTTACAAAAAAAAAATAAAAAATTTGGATTGCATTTTGGGAAGATTTTTGTTTCCTCAACAGCTAAATGTGAAACAGCTAATACATCCCCAGTGATTGAGTTTTCCCCCACTTTGCTTGGTGTTTTATTAAGTGATCATCATTTCTGCACGCACTCCAGTCATTTCCATTCCTCATTCTCTGATTTTTTTTGTTTTTATCCAGGAGTGCAGCCGAAGATGCAGATACTAGTGGAGAGGAAGATCTATCCGTTTCTGCTGATGGTGGTCATACTGCTGGCCTTTCTGTCCTTTCAGATTCGCCAGTTCAAACGACTTTATGAACACATCAAAAACGACAAGTCAGTAAAATCTAATATCATTTTAACTACTTTCAGCTTACAGATCCTTGCTAAAGGACTCTAGGGCGGCAATCAAGTATTTTATTCTGACGATCAATCAGTTAATTGGAGAAAAAAAAAACAATTGACGGATTATGCAGATTTATCATTGAACCAGTGTGCACAGTCCCACAGGTTTGAACTGATACTGCATGTTTTTGCAAGGCTTTTTTTGTTGTGTGGTTTTGGGAACTGACGGTCTGACGGTACAACTTCCCTTCCCCCGGGCTGTCCTGTTTCTTTTCTTTTTTTTTTTTTTTAAATAAAATGTTAGAAATAGATTTAAAAAAATAAACAAATGATTTATTTACTTTTTAAAATAAGAAAACAAACATTTTATTGCCTAAAATACATTCTGTTAGTGAATTTAAACCTGGTGAACCTAGGGCTTTTTTTTTTTTACCTAAATGCAAAATATTTATATACGTTTTTACATTTTACAGTTTTGGCTTAGTTACAGCCAAACTATTTTGTCAACAAATGGCCTTTTTGTTTTTGTTTTTTTAGTTTTTTTTTATGATTAGTTTAGAAGTTATTTGACTATTATTTCAAAAATCAATTTATCGCAATTAATCTGATGATTGTTTCTGAACTTTTTCACATTTTCTCTCCATAGACTTGAGTTGTGTTAGAATGTGAATAACAAATTAAAGGATTCATGGCTTTCTACTTCTACTACTTCGTTTTTTTTTCACAGATTTATTCCCCTGTTGCGAGACGCTGTTGTATTTTGTAAGTGACATCCTTTTGCGTTTCTTATCCCTCACTTCTCCACCAGATACCTGGTAGGACAGCGACTGGTGAACTACGAGCGGAAGATGGGCCGGAGCTCCTCCACCCCTCACGCCACCTCCTCATAAGTCTGACACTGGTGTGGGGTGACCTGGAGCGGCAGCTCCTCGCCTCCCGTCTTCAAAAACTGCATATAAAACCTCTGACTGCAGCCTCATCCCTTTCTTCTCCAGCAATCTCCCACAGTAGCGCTCGGGGGAAGCAAAGCCGATGACAAGCGAAGGCAAAAACTCTGCCTCCGAAGTGTTCGTGTGAGGCTGAAAATCGAAAATCTTTTTGAAAAAGCTTGTTTAGCGCTCAGGTTGAGTCAGACTTTATGGGATTACAAAATCCACTCGCCGGTCCTTCCGTTGTAGTCGCCTGCTCAGGTGGGGATGTTTTTTTTATTTCCTGGAAGTTTGCTTCAAAATTCAGGTCAGATGAGCATAGCTTTTACCTCAGATTGAGCTTCCTTTGAACATATTGTAGAATAAACATGTGCACCATTATATATATATATATATATATATATATATATATATATATATATATATATATATATATATATATATATATATATACTCTCTTAGAGCTGTGAAGGAGATGTTTGGACTTTAGTTGGTGTACTTCGGTACTCAGAGGATCTGTAAGAAAAGAACAGAGTTGGAAACTGATTGGTCGATGCAAAGACAAGACGGGTGAGAGTGAGGGGGGAGGAAAGTGGTAACAAAAAAATGTGAAGAACATGTTTTTATTTTTCTGATGTCACTCTGAGTTTTAGCATTAGGCTTCTTCATAGTTTTTTTTTTTAGACATTTTAAAACTGAATCCTTTTAGATGTGAGCAAAAACAGAGGACAAAGGCTGCTGTCTGTCTTACGTCTTCTAGGCTGAACACAAAAACATTTGATTAAGTAACAGTTTGAGACACAAAGTGTCCTTTCCAGTACTGGGGGGCAGGAGGGGGGGTGTAAGTCAACCTTCTTAACACAGAATTTGCACAGAGTTCAGCTCGTCATCCAGTGTTTATTCTGTGAAGAGTACTTTGGAAAATGCTAAAACTAAACCAGCCTGGAAACACTCAAAAGACAACAGTTAAAAAAAAAAAAGTCTGAAGAAAACACTAAGAGGAGATTAACCAGCATCTAAAACAAGACAACGCTCTGAGGATGTTTGTTTCAGAGGTCAAAAACAACTATGTTCCACTCAGCTGCTGTTAGTTCTTCATTTTTACTAGACGCTTATTTGAATGTTTTGTTGTTACTCATTTGCCAGTTTTACTCATTTGAACAGGTGAGTAAAATCCACGTTGTCCCAGAATTAGAAGTCTGTGGCCGTCATGCGACGACAAAACAATGTGAAAAGTTCAGTAAAACTGAGCTGCTCTGCTCATCTTTCGGTAAACGGTGACTGGAGCGAGAGCTGCGCAACTGAACGACGCCAAGCGCGCAAATCGCAGCTCCCAGCTTCACCGTGCTGTTCTTCATGGACTCATAACATTTGTACAGTAAAGCTGGGAAATGATCAGTGAGCTCCAGAGTTTTCTTGATGGACAGAAAGTTGTTAGCTGCTTGGAGTTTTGTTTTTTATTTTTTCCCCTGATGTTCCCTTCAGATGTGGTTCTTTGGTGGACGCTTTGTAAGGACATGCTTCTAACGGGGGATCCATCTGGGAATTCACTGGGTCGTTTCTTTGGCCTTATGTTCTTTTGTTTAATCCAACTGGCATAACTTAAGCTTCACATGTCTTCATAACTGCATCGGACGGCAACATAACAAGAAATCAGAGAAAGCTGCTCCCCAGTTGGCAGTCTATTGGTCAGACAGGCCAAGCCTCATGCAAAGGGCAGCTAAACACTTTTATATTCTTGTGAACGCGCGTGATCATATTTCACAGATGACAGAATCATAAAATGATCCACGCGCATCTGTAAAACGACGAGTCAGCCGCAACAACAAAACACGGTCCTGAGATAATCACTGTTACCTGCATGGCAGTTTTGTGTTTTTATTTTTCCTTTTAAGCGTATAATTTTATTAAGATTATGTGGTTTTCATTTCAAAGCGGAACATCTCAGTTAGCAATTTTTTACCTTAAACTACACGTCGTATTTCGCCGCGTGTGAATATGAAATCGAACTGGTCGTCGGTCGCTGAGCTTCTCACTTGTGTGACTGAGTTCTCTGGATTTCTCTGCTATCCCCCTTTTTCTAACCACTCCTATAGAAAAAAAAAATCAGACAGCTGAGATGCTTTAGTTTAGAGTGTTCAGTTGTTTTTCAAGGCAAAAGAGAGAAAAGGAAAAGGCCCTTCTCTGAATTCTTACTGCTGCTGTTTGAGAAAATCCCATTTTCAGCTGTTTTTTATAATCTTAGAGAGACGTTTCATTTAATTTATTTGTTTCGGATCAGCAATGGTCACGAAGAGTTAAAAGGTTTTTATTCATCCACGTGTTTCACTGTGTCGCACTTTATGTTTCGGTTGCAATCATTTCGGTCTGTTGTGACGACACCAACATGGCTGTTTTTTTTAATTTTTTTTTTATTTTGAGACGGACGCCAAGAGACGGAGACGGCGGCCACGCCCCGGATTTTTTTAACCTAAAAGACGAAATGACTTTTGCATCTGTTCCTTGTAATGAATTTCACATTTTAGCTGGAATTTACTACTATTCCGTCGAGGCGGATTGTGAATTTGACCCGTAGCTCTGCTGCTGTGTGGAACGCTCACATTTTAGAAAGATGCTATAAAGTGACCTTTTTAGTACCTTTGAACTGAGCTGGACGCATTGAATTTTAATGTTAAATTTCAATTTCTAGAAGCAAATGATTTCTATTTTTTTATATGTGCAAAAAAAAAAAAAAAAAGGCAGTGGCATGTACTGTAACAAAGGTGAAAAAATCAAATCTTAAAAGTTCAATTGATTGTTGATTCTGTGATATAAACAATAAACAGATGTTAAGACTGGATTAGTTTGTTGTTGTTTTTTTTTTAAAATAAATACCAATGTTAGCTTGACAAACTTATTTTGGAATCTCATATTTTTATGAAATTTAAACTGGCCTGTAAAACGCCAAATTTTATTTAAAAAAGTATTCATTTTTGGAAGTTATTAATTTGCCACAAGAAAATATGCACTTGCTACAAAAAAAAACAACTGTTCAATAATAAAGTCATAATGGACAACCTACAAGCATGAACTGTATAATATGGTCGTGTTTATTTTATTTTTTTTAAAATAAAAGTATTATAATGTATTGGACAGTTTTTAGGATTTTTATAGGTGACAAAATATTGAAACTTCTACTAAATCAAACTTCTGGTGTAGCATCACATTCAAAGTTTCCTGGTTTTACATAAATGCCAGGGTTTAGAGGGCCTAAAAATATATTGATTACCAATAAATAGTGAAGAATTAAGAAACTTGGACTTAAAACATGTGTGCACACATTTTGTAAATCTTTAGCAAAATATAAAAATGAAAAGTGGTCCAAGAATGTTGCCCTGAGGGATCTCCAAAGATCTGATCTGATCTCAACAACTTAAATTGTTCTGTAGGAAGAAGAAGGAATATCTAAATTGTCTACCTTGCTCCAGATTACATCTTTCCTCTAATATTCCAAAACTACTCAAAAGGTTTGTAGAGAAAAGAGAAGCTTTTAACTGCTGCTGCAGCTGTGCCACAGGGATATATACGAGCATTGCGACGCTTCCAATCAGTCTTTCGTCATCAAGTAAAACATACTGCGATTTTCCGTGTTTAATAACAGCCTGGCTCTTAACGTGCAAATCATTTCTGCTGCAGCTCCAGGAAACAGGATGTGGAGTTATTTCTCTTGAATCCAATTACCTTGGAGCCAAAGCGCAGTCTGAACAGTTAGTCCAAGCACAGATTAGGAGCATATGCAGCTAACGCCAGAGTTCCCCTGCCAAGCCAGACCAAATGTTTCCCTCCCGTTCTCCGTTTTTCAGGAGCACAATGGGATCTGTGTTGTCATGGCGATCAACTCGTGGAGTAAGCGTCTGTGGCTCCTTAAGGAGCTCTGGACAGATTAGCAGGGTGTCGAGAAGAGTTTCTCCTTCTGCTATGCTGTAAAAAAAAACAGGGTTAGCACATTTAATATGGATTCATTAAATATTATGTGACTAGTTATACTAAACCTAAACAGCAACTTCATATCACATCATATGTTGGGTATGAAAACAGGCTTGTATACATAAATGTTACACTTTCCCCTTGTGTTATTTTTAACTCATTCATCTCACTTCCTACTCTGCACAGCCATGTAGGAACCGTTTCAATATGTTCCCTTTTCGCATCATATCAAATTAAAGGGTTTGCCCACATTTTGGAGAGTGGGTTCTGTTATAAGGTTAAAACCATATCTTATCTTCGAAGGCACCAATCAGGGCTCAATAATTGGCAAGATGCAGTGGTGTGCAGAGTGCCTAGTCTTACATTGTGTTATTCTACCCCTTTGTAGACCCTACAGTTGCTGTTTTTCTTGTACATTGTGAGATAATTACTTCCTGTTCCCTCTTCCACCTGTTTATGACTGTTTTGTCACTTTTGTTCTTGCCACACCCCTCCTCTTCAGTCATGCTCCATTTAGTTATTTTCTTCTGTGTTTCACTTCCCCTCTGTTTCATTTCACTCATGGTTTTACCAGTTTGCTGCTTTTCCTACAGCTGCAGCATAATGTCATCCAGTAATCACCACTCCATTCTTTTTGGAGGCCGTTTCTTTTCCCATTCCTTGTCGGTTCCTCCTGTCATGCCGCTCAACGCTTTTCCAGTTGTTGTTGGTTTTGTTTTCTCTGTTGGGCTTATTCTCCACTTGTTGGATTTTCATTTAAAGGTTCACCGCTCCTTCCTCCATTTTAGACCCTCATCACAGCCTGCTGTCACGACAGGTCTGGATCTCTTTGGGACCTTTATTTGACCAGAAAGCTAAATATGACACTTGTGTGTTTCTGATTCTTATCCTCTTTGTCAAGAATCTCCTTCATTTACTAAATGGCAGAGGTGAATTTGATTCAAAGGTCATTTCTTGAAAAAGGTGGCATGGCTAAAGTTTGGATTGCTCCTAGTTTTTCCACTGCAGCCTATATACTGATGAGGTCACGTGGGTTGGAAATCCAATTTAAGATGGTTGTGTTAAGTGCAGCAGGAGATAAAAGAAAGAGGGGGTTGAGTCAGTTAAACTAATGACAATTAACTGATAGGCATATTTGTGTCAAACCAAGATGGCAAATGTAAAAAAACAAACATATTTTTTTAACTAGAGTTACCTTTAGGCACTGGGGGGGAAAAATAGATTTTCTCCAAAATGTCTGAATTCAAAAGAGTTTTTTTTTTTTTTAATTTAAGTTTCAACCCTGTGTTTGACTCAGTCAGTTTTAGGTCAGAGAGAGAGAAAGAGAGAGAGAGAGAGAGAGAGAGAGAGAGAGAGAGAGACTAAATGGATTATCAAGAAGCAGTTCAACAGAATCCCTTTCATCCCATTGCTGGCCATCAGACAGACAAGTGCTCCCCTACAGGGAAACACGGGATTAGTTGCTCAGCATCGTCGGCTTCTTCTCATTCTATTTTCTGGAATTGGCCCACAAGAATCCAGGAATTTTTCCAGCGTGAGGATCGAAGAATGTGAAAGACGGGACTTACGGGGACATTGTCGAAAGGCATGCGGAGGACAGCCGAGGCTTGTCTGTGTTCTGAAACTCATGGATAATCTTCGACTTTTGAAGCTTCATTTATTTCAAAACTGTGTCACTGACAAGTCATTATGGAAGAACGGCAAGTTCAGTTTGTTGTCATTGACTCTTTTTGGCCACTAATGGACTGCCCAGAGTGACTGCCTCAGATCATGCATATGATCAAACTTTTGCCAATACGTTGCAAAGTTCTGCTGAATCCTGATTTCACAGGAATTCTAATAAGATGTTGGAGGATTCTCGGTGGAGTGCCAAGTTTCCTGTGGCTTTTTTCTCATTTCTTTTAGTTATTTGAATGTGAGACTTTTAGGAGTCAACCGTTAGACGGTTCTTTCACAGAATGAGAAACTACGATGCCATGGGCTGTTGGATGTAAACTCTGGGTTCTATAAAGGTTTTTGTTGGCGCCCCACATGAATTTCAAAAGGTAAGCGGGGCCTGGGGATGCTTTAAATGGTGTTAATAACAGAGGAACAAGGTAAAGATTCAAAGGTCAGAGAGAATGGATTTGCTGGAGGAGTTGCCCTTGGCAAGACTAAGAGTAAAGCCAACATCTTGGCTGGGGATGCACCCATTATGTCCATCTGCAAGGTTGATGAAGATGGAGTTGAGTGTGCGGTCTCAGAAGACGACGCTAATGAAGAGGCTGAAGTCGATTACACACGAAACTACTGGGAGGATGAGGACGATATTTATCAAGAGTTTGAGGAACTGGACTTCGACTCCCTACCGGATCGTTCGGATACCCACAGCATCACCACAGAAGACTCCTTCTATCCCCTAGACGATTCAGTCATCTCCCAAATTAACCGCTCCCTCTACCACCTGGAAACCCCCGAACCAATCTCCTTCTTTAAGGCCTGCTGCAACAACAATGCCATCATAGTAAAGATCATGATCAGACAAGGAGTGACTGAAGAAGAGGTAAAGGAGACCGACCGAAACAGAAGAGTAGGTGTCTGGGTTCAGTACCTTTTACATTTTCTTTATTTTCTGCTCACTCCCATCCTTAAGAGCTGCTGTCCTGGACCTTCAGACCAATCTCTGTTTCAGCATACCTCAGTCAAATCAGCATGCCATCAAGGGATGCATCTCAAAGTTGTAGGACAGTAGCTCTTGAGGACTGGAATTGGAGACCTCATTTGTAGACTTAGACGTTAAGGTCACTTTAACCCTTTTCAGAAAGGAACCAGAATGCTCCTTTGTTCTAATAGATTTTTCACTTCTCAAGCTAAAGCTTCCTCAGATTAAACTGTGTGAGGATTTACATTATATCAGTAACCCAGATAGTCACATACCACCCAAGTTGTTAAATAAACCAGCTATAACCTTAATGTTTCTCCTTGACCTAATTGTCTCACTTTGGGATCCTCGGGTTCACGTGGTCTAAAAAAACCCATCTGTTGAGCAGCATGTTGATGTGGAAATGGAAAGACTGGTAGGGTTGACTTGAGTTGAGTGAACGTACCGCAATAAAAGAATAAAAAAAGTTAAAGTATATTTAGATGTTCAAAGAAGTGGGTAGAAGTACAAACTTATTTTTTACACTCACCTCTCTTACATCTATAGCGTCATCCAATAAATTACTATCCATATTAACTTAGTTTTAACACTTTTCTTAGTAATTTTCTGTATCCTAATCTATAACTAGTACAGTGCATTCATAATTACATGCCATTATGAGCAAGAATCATTTTCTTTTCTAAATCAATATATCATAATGCGGTTATTGTCACAACCTCATTAAGTAGTAACAGCAACATTGATAATAGATATTGGTAATAATTAATAACTATTTCTCATATTGTGATAGTGACGATCAGCTTCTTCAACGATGTTTTAAACTGCTGCTGAACTCATTCCAGCTTCACCCCACGTACTGATGTACACAAGCTTTTTCTTGTGGTTCTTAATTTTACATTTTTGAATTCACATTTTTATTCAAAATTATAAAGCCCTTCCTTTTTTTTAAGAAGAGCTTTTGAATGTTTCCCAGTGATAAATTAATTTTGGATTTATATATATATATATATATATATATATATATATATATATATATATATATATATATATATATATATATATATATACACTTTAGCTCACACAGATCCACCAAACCTGGACACTAACAGAGTGGAAAAAGAACACAACCAAATCCAATGAGATATCATTACTGGTTCAGATTGTACGGTCAGATTTTGGCATTCACATATACAAAAAAAAAAAAGTCCTGTCCTGCTGTTTCAGTGGTTGAGAATGGTGGTGGTGTATCCTGGTACACTCTGAGCCCATTAGCATTGATTAAGCATCATTTAATTGCCACCGCCTCCCATAGTACCATTGCTGACCATGTCAATCCCTTCTTGACCACAGTGTGCCCATCTACTGATGGCTGCTTCCTGCAGATTGATGCACCGTGAGGAGTTTTCTGTGACCCAATCACAAGATCGTATTTTAACAAAGCTCTTTTGGAATGTGGTAGGACTGCAGATTAGCGTGATACACATGTAGCCAACCCACTGCGTGATGCTAGCTTGTGAAAAGACACCAAAATCTCTGAAAAATCTCCCCAGGAATTTTTATATGTATCTATACCATGAAGAAATGAGGCAGTCGTAAAGGTAACAAGATTCCGAATGATTCACATGGACTCAGTTTTCTCCGCATTCTCCGGCTAGTTGCAAAATATATTGTTTACACCGGATGCAAGTGACATTGCCCAAAAATGCTAAAGGCCACAGATTGAGGGAAGCAAAAATGAAAAAGAGAGGAGAAAATAAACCAGTCACATATGCTTTAGCATTTTGGGCAAACTCTCTCATCTGCTGACCTTTTTCTCACACTTTAAGCATTAACTGGCTGTAGAAAATGGATGGAAGTATTATATCTAAACCAGCCTCAAAGAAAGAAACTATCTTTTCAGCAGACATAGCCAAGACATAAGTGATGCAAGTTATAAGTTCAATTCGCAGACCGTAGCAGTGATGTAATGTTTTGATACGTGATGGAAGAATAGAAAACCCCCCTAGTGACGGTAGTGTGAGGTTTAACCGAGAGCCAAACAGAACGAGGGCGATCCTCAGCAGAAAGCCGGTTCTGGAGGGAGGATTTTAAGCCTCCTGGACAGATGGAGAGCGTAAACTGCTCGGTGTCAAAGTAAAAAAACAGCTTGAGTCGAGGGCTCAGCTTTTAAAGAGCTCACTGAAGACACTGACCTTGGTGCCGGGTAAAAGACGCTGTAGGCTGATGGATGTGGACAGGGACAGAAACACTGACCCTGGGACTGTGGGAAGGTTTGGCAGACCCAGGTTTGTACCGCTTATCTAGAAGTTTAAAATAATCCTTTGGTGGGCTTATTTTACTCCAGATGTGGTCGCTGAACTCTGCCTTTTCAAGTAAAGCAGGAGACATTATCAAATGCTAATTTAAATTAAAAAAAAAGACATTTTGTAAATGATGGCAAACTGTACGCCATCTGCCGTCTTTGTTTTATCACAGCCAGATGGACCGCCTGGGTGTCCAACATTAGTTTATTTTTTAACAATGTCAGTTTTGATTAGCAGCCTCCAGCTGTTTTATTATTTACTTTTTTTTTTTTTTTTACCCAGAAACCAAACAGCATGATTTATAGACCTCTGTATCGGGGTTCTCTTTTCCAGTACAAACAGAAATAATTGATGAAAATATGTTTGTTTACACTTTCTCTGCATTCATTACTCACAATATGAGAACGGGGTTTACTTGGAGAGAATAAGGGCAAAAAAACATTTCTTAACACTTTTTTTTACAGTATGTAAACCATAATTTGTTCATACGGTTTACCGCTCAGGACAGCAGAACTTAAAGTTTGATCGCTGAATAAAAGCGATCAAAATAGGAGAAAAAAAGGTAAGACATAAGTGATGCATAAGTGATATACCTTTCCCATTTTAATTATTTTATTTACATGTCCAGTCCAGTTTGGAATCAGTGCATATTTGAGTATTGAAGTATGAATATTATAACCACTTTAACAGGAGTCTGAGTGAGGAACATGGCAAAGACAACTAAACAAGCAAGAAATTTACCCACTGGACTGTGGGTAAATTTACATTAAGTCATATTTTTTATATCAGTTGTTATATCAACATAAAAAAAAACATTTCTGGTATCCAACATGGCTATTTTTCTTTTTTTAAATAAAGCCATAAAATGGTGTGAAGCTCAGTTAGTTTAACTATTTTTTTTAGTTTTCATTAAAGTCAGAAAACATGCGGGGCCTTCGTCCCGCCTCAGAGAACCACGTGGATATTTTTTAAAGATCCTAATTGAAAGAAGAAAACAAATCAGTCTCCTGCTATTTATTGTGTATGTGTGTGTGTGTGTGTGTGTGTGTTATACAGTCTGGCCTCATTGCTGCGTGTTACCATGGTTACGTGGACGTGGTCATGGCCCTCGCTCAGTGTCCCTACCTGGATGTGAACTGGCAGGACAACGAGGGCAACACTGCCCTTATTATTGCGGCTCAAGCAGGTAAACACAGCTCAGACCGCTGATTATCACACAGACAGACGGTTGTTTCATTTCCGTCTGACACTGAGGTTCTGTTTGAACTGATACTTTCTGTATGCTTTTGAGGGAAAAAGAAAGAAAATAGAAGGAATTGCTTATTTATGTTTGTAGTCAGTACTTAACAGGAGCATCGATGCCATTAGTTTTACACACAATTATTTTACTTGAGCTGTAGATGGACCAGGATTGGATGATTGTGCAGCACAAAACCTAAAGGTTTGTTTAAAAAAAGGTTACATAAGTCGCCTGGTTCTGTCCTCCATTTGTTTAAAGTATGGGAATATGGGTCGCTGTCCCTTGATGCTAACAATGCTAACGTGAGTTCTTTTGGTCACACATGTCTGCCATTTTGGATGAGGAACTAAACACAAATGAACATCAGATGGAAGGGATGTAGAGTAAAGGAAACTGGTTTCACTTTGGATAAATTTCTCAGTTTAAAAAAATACATATACGGTATTTATTTATTTATTTATTTATTTATTTATTTATTTATTTATTTATTTTTACCAGAGCTATTCTGTTCTGCAAGATTAAAACTTGGAACCTGGAATCCCTTCAACATTTTCAACATGTGATTTTACAAACAGCTCGAAGCCACCAAGTATTTATTTTTATTTTTATTTTCCCTTTAAACCGATTTGCTTATGGTTTTTGGGTGGAGCAAGTTTTGAGAGGAAATTTCATGGTCTTAATTTTACGTCACAAAAATCTGGAATCTCACCATGACTCACTTTTTACAGCCACCGTGGCCCCGTCGATTAATGGTTGCCAGTAAATGAATAGTTGTGAGACTTAAAATGACACAAAAAGTGGAGAGATATTAAGTAGTGATCATTTTAACCTTTACAGTAAGTGTCTCACATCTCGGTACAGCAGCTGTTCCCAGTGTTACTGCACTTGATGTACAAAACAAATCACGGTGATTGGCTTACGATTTAAATGGTAGTATTTCAGTATATTTCTGTATATGAGCCTAGTGACTAGCAGTCAGTCTAAAATGTTCAGATTATGCAATATTCATTGTTATTATACTTGCAAAAGTGGTCAATAATCACATTTTAGTGCATTTTTCAGCTTTGAAAGCCAACTTCGACTTTCCAACACTGTAGTTGTACTGTATAAGAATAATTTACAATAGAGGACAATATCGATAACGTGTTGTTATTAGCTGTATGCCCAGTTTAAAACCTCGTGGAAGATTATGAGGCTTATTGCCTCAAAGTGTTTGTCATAACGGAGGAGCACCATCAGTAATTTCATAGTGACTCAGCCAGATGTGGCAGACACGGCGCCCCGGTCTCTTATCACCTAATGATGACAAATAGCTCTCTGGAGACGGTGATAAATAGTCGAGGACTTGTTTTTCTGCTTCGTTAGAAGAAGTATTGATCCCCTTTCATTAAAAAAAAATAAAGGAAGGAAAAAGAAGAAAAAAAGCTCCATCATGCTACAAGAGCAGACTGCAAAAAAAAAAAAAAAGTATACAGTTTCCAGATCTAGCATGGGGTTTCAGCTCAGGGCCAGGATGAAGTTCAAGCATCATTAGTCTTCCAATCAGCTCTGCCAACAAATTCGCGTGGCGTGCTTCAATAATTTTTTGTGCTTGTTTAAAAGAATTAAAAGGTTCTACCTTGACTTTAGCCTTGTGAGCTTGACTGGTTGAAACATTGTTCGTGATAAATATCCAAGCCTGGGTCTGTTTTTGCTAACGGTGGACGTTTCCCTGGGAAGTGGCAAGTTTTTCTGACGCTTGAATGAAACAAATCGTATCACAGCTCAAAAAAAAACAAAGGCATAAAGAAAAATCAATAACAAACTGCTTCAACGATTTAGCAGATGCTCTGGTCACATACCTTTTGATTTGGTTTCCACTCTGCGTCTTTTTCACCTTGACTTTACTGTGTTTGTTCCCCAAACTTATTTTACAAGAGTTCTTGGAATTGATCCAAATTCAGCATCTCCTCTCAAAAACAGTCGTCTAACTTTGACTCCACAGGTTTTGGCAGAGACCACTTCAAAACTTTTTTGTGGAGAAGCAATTCTGTTGTTGAACGAGAAGTATGCTAAGACTCAAAGTTTTGACAAAAAAAAAATCTCTCTTTATCTTTCGAGAACACTCATATCCTAACAAATGAAAATTCTTTGATGGATATTCTTGCTGTACCGTTTGGCTATAGCTAGCGGGTATTCTCCTTTATTCTTAAAGGTTTCTGCTAGGTTTTCCTCTAGATTTTGCCTTGTGTTATGTTACCAAAGTGAGTCAAGCACAACTGAAAACCACCATTTGTAGTTTTGAAAACCTTGCATTATTTTACTCTCATTCTACAATTAGGTATTACTTTGTGATGATAATTCCAATGCCACGTTACGTGGACAGGTGGTTCAGAAAACCAGCACCGTGCTTCGTGATGCACGGTGTGTTTCTTTCTCTGTGGTTCACAGGTCACACGTTTATCTCCAACTACCTGTTGAACTACTTCCCCGGTTTGGATATCGAGAGGAGGAACTGTCACGGTTTCACAGCGTTGATGAAAGCTGCAATGCAGGGGAGGCTTGAGTGTGTCAGAGCCCTCATGCTGGCAGGCAAGTTATAAAGTTATCACTTCGCAGTGAATCAGATTTCCATGATTGTAGTGTCGCGTTGACTGAACTCGTTTGTTTGTGTAGAGGATATGTCAAATTGTGCCAAAGTTAGACACCTGAAATCACCAGAATATGTCTCTACGTAGGAAGTGATATCCAGGCTCGGGACTATGGACGGAGAATGACCCCCAGAGAGTGGGCTCTCTTCACCGGTCGATACGAGACGGCAGATTTGATACTTCGGCTGATATCAAAGCCTTGCGCCGAGCAGTTCTGCGACTCCTTCCCCCTGGAGTGGCCATTGTTAGAGGTTAATGCATCGCGATTGATTTCAGTTCTAGTATCAAATGCACTGACCGGTACTTGTTCAAACATTTTTTCAAAACAAAACAAAAAAATGTTCTTTTGCAGGAACTCGTGTGGAAGGCACAAAACCCACAGACATTCTGTCAGCGCTTGATGAAACTCATCTCTTGCTGCCCTTATGGGCTCTACTTCAACAACAAGGTAAACCCTGTGAGCGACGGTGTCCTTGAACACATGGTGAGGATAACCACGGGCATCTCCAGCCCCTTCATGGCCACGGCGTGCCACACCGTCTCCCCGGGCAGCCCGCCGTGCGTCGGAAAGCGCCGGCACGCCGTGCAGGAGATCCTGAGGCGGCAACGGGTGGCGGAGCTCAAACGCCTGGGACCCGACAGGTTGAACAACTACAAGAAGCTTTTCCAGAACTCGAGGGTCCTCCTCATCCCCAAAGCGAGGGACCGACGGGCGAGCCTGCAGTCCCAGCTGCTCAGCGACGTGGCGGCAGCGTCCACGGTGGCCATCAGACGAGCTAGCCTCCTGCCGCTCAACATGCTGAGGAGAAGCAGCGTGCGGCCAGGCCTAGTGGTGCCAAAGGTCACTCTCTGCAAAGCCCCGCCTCCGAGCTTCATACCGGAAAAGCCGAGCAGGAACGGCAACGACAGCCAGCTCCAGATCCCCAAATGGGATTACAAGATGAAGAAAATAGAGAGGAGGCAGGAAGAGGAGAGGCAACGAATGCTATCTGCACTAAGAAGGAGGTGAAGGATCGAAGGAGGACATGACTTTGCGGCGCGTCCCAGATCGAGCTTGAAAAGTGTCTTGTGGCAAAGCGGGCACGAAGCACAGCCTTAGCAAATCTGAACCTTTATTGTGAATTTGACTGCAAGTTGTTGTTTCTGCTTGTTCAGATCACTGATGCTGCTTTGCCTTGTTTCTACTTGAACTTGCACACTTCCCTTGAGAGGTGTAATTTGTAATGAGGAATGGCAGGGGAGGGAGCAGAAGGAAAGAAAAATAAACATGTGACTTGGATTAAAATGTTAGGGGAATCAGGTATTTTTGGAGATCAGACTACTTCTTTCCCCACATTTGCCACAAATCTTTTCTTTTTATTTCTCTACATCGTGTCATGCTTGCGTGGACAGACTCGAGTGGCAAACAGCAGTAAAAAAGAAAAGTGCTAATAAAAAAATAATTTGCTAGAGTCAGTTTTCACTTACATATGGAGACAAAAGCCTAAAGGAATAGGCTCACAAAGAAGAAATAATCTTACAACCGGCCAGACAGATAAAAGATGGTGAGAATTTTGAATACAACCTAATGAAATAAAGGAAGTTGAGACTATGGATCGTACAGCAGGACGACGAAACAAGACAACAGATCCTTCTTCACTGCTGCAGAGTATGTTTAAGGACGAGGAGCAGCTAAGCAGCATTTTAGAGTTGAGTGGAAGAGCTAGCTCACAGCGGCTTTGTTAGGGCTTTGTGAAGAAGCTGAAAGGCAGAGCCAAAAATAAACAGCTTAGTTCTTCACTCTGACATGCTGACTTTTAAAGTTATCACAGTACAATTTCCTGTCTGCAGGCTACCGGCTCGGTGAGTTGTGCCATATTAAAGCTGTCATTAGCCGTTTTTGCTTCAAAGGAGCTAAACTGGGGGAAAATGAAGCAAAAGCAGAGGCGTCAGTGGAAAATGAGCGTAGCCTAATTTCAAAACATTGTAGTTCCAGGATTGTATGGTTTAGGGTCACCACTTTAAATACAGAGAAATTATTTATTTTTTTCTGTTTTTTTATTTTATTTTTATTGATAGTTAGCATCTAAGCTAATGTTGCAGTTTAAACCAGATGTGCTATTCCAGCTAGCTAGCACTAGCAGTAAAGCTCAGCAGTTCACTTTTGTCAATTTGTTTCGGTTTTGTTACAAAGTACAGCAAAGACCAAAACGCCTTTAGCTTTCAAAATGCTGGGGCTAAAACATTAATCAGTGAAAAAGAAAAGCTATGGTACAAAAAAGTGTTTTTCTTAGAAGTGCCCATTTAATTTGACAGTTATTTTTGATAATGAAAATATAAAGATCTTTAAACAAAAACAATCCTGAGCAAAAAAGATAGTTAGCATCCAAATCTAAATGGATAGTGATATAAACTATATCTCTATATCACTGATAGTTTATATCATTGAATTCCTATTTTCAGGTTTCAAAATGCTGGAGTGTATCAGGGGGTTTCTAAGTCATATTAAGTTGTGGAAAATAATGCAACAAATCATTACAGTTCTACAAAAACAGTTATTTACTTATTTTATACACTACACGTTAAAATTTTTTAAGCTCATTTTTGTTCATAAAGAAGACAGTTAGCGTCCAAGTTAGCGTTGCAGTTAATGTCAGTTTGGCCAAACAATTATGCTGAATATGTAGCATCGCTACTAAAAACCGATGCTGGGTTTGTCTTGGAAATCAGAGCTCAAGCTTGGGAATAATATTACACATTGATGGTAGCTTTTTTCCCAAATGCTGCTATCAAACATTTGGAAAACAGAGTTGGCTTCCAAATGAATGCAGTTAAAGAAAAATGCTGACTACATTTTATGTTGAAGCTTGAGTCCTTCATTCAAATTGTTTTCCCTTTTGGTACGAGACATTGCCAGGATCTAATACCTACTGTTAGATCTTTATATTGAAAGGTACAAATAAAAAAAACCCACACAAATGGGTATTTCTCATATGTTGTATTAAACATATATATATTAAAAAAAAAACTTGATGGCACTTCAAAATAAAAGCACTGAATGTAAACAAGCGTAGTGGGAGACCTTCACATGCCAAAATCAATTAATAACCTTCACTTATGTCACAGTCCCTTGCCTTATGATAAACTTATCCCAGTTGTTGCATTTTTCTACCTTTTGAGTTTGTCTTCCTTGAGCACATCAACAAATAGCATATTTGAATTTTTGAACTAATAAAAACCAGTGAAAGTGGATGACATGCGCATCTCTTTTGTGTTTCTAAGACAACGATTTACACATTTTTTTTCATTAGGTTTTAGCAATTAGCTGTCTTGTTTCTCATGACACAAGACATTTTAATAATGCACCTTTCTAAAATTTGCTGTCATATTATTGACAGTCTTCCACTTTAAAATTTTTTTCTTTTTAATGGTTATAATGAACGTTGACACTGCAAACTGTGGCAGGCTTCTGCAACGTTTAATCATAACCAAATCAAATATCCTTTTATTTATGTATCAAACTAAAAATCTGCAGAAGTTTTAAGATCATTATTTTGTGTGAGAGGTCCAGTCCTCCAACTAGCCAGCTGTTTGCTTATCCATTGGGCAAAGGACCAGACATAACACACAGTAAGGACCTGCCTTGAGATATAATTAACTTCTTTGTTGTTTTTGATGATAAACTTTTGATTTCTTTTTTTTAAACAATTATTTTTAGCGCAAAAACCATGGAAAAGAGGAGTCGAGAGCCCAATATAAAGTACACGAAAGAGGACAATATGTTTAAAACGTCTCGGATTTAGTCTGCATTGACAGAAAGTAGTTTTTAACTTTGACTGGAAACGAATGAAATGTGAAAACCTCTTAAGAATCTGATGATCGTTCGTGCTTCAAATAAAGCAGCAGAGATGGCGTAACAGACTGGTTCTGCAGTGCCATCTGGGAAGAGTCGAGCAGAATGGACCTGCGAGACTAAAATGGCTGCCATCCTGACCTGTAGTGCAGTTTCCCCTCACGGCCACCAGAGAGCAGTCATGACCCTTTACAGGTCAGCAGTCTGGTCGCCTGCAGGACGGAGATGAGCTATCCACAAACGCCATAATTAGAAATGAACTCATTTCAACTCTAATGACAAACATCTTTTATTATTTTTAATCTGCTGGCGATTAGTTTCTTGCATTTTGCACGTTTCGGGTCAGGAGCGGAGTTTAATGAAACCAACTTAAAGGCTTAAATTTAACTGAACAAAAAAAAAAAAAAAAAAAAAAAAAAAAATTTAAAAAAAAAAATTTTTAAAAACCAAACAAAAAATTAAAAAAAATGGGTTT